GGGGGGGGGGGGGGAGGGTTAGATCAATAAGAGATGGAGGACCGTTCATAGGGATGGAAAAATGCAATTCGTTCTTCGATTTCGTTTCTACCTACTAGACCAGTAGGCTTTTCTAGAAGCATTGGCCCAGTCTCTAGTCATTGAAAGAATTCAAGTAGAAGCTTCCAAGAATATCTTCCTCGTGGGACACCTGCAGACACTCTTAAGTGGAACAGTAGCAACTTTTGAATCCTTCCCACACAATGAAAAGGGATGGGCGAAGGGTCAGTCGATGTGCATATTTACACTTGCCTATACTGGGACGGGTCTGTTACCAGACGATCGGCTTAAGAGGGTATGGGAGTCTCTCTGGCTTACCTGGTATGATCCAGACCATTGCCCGTGCCTTAATCGGAAGACCAAGTTTGAAAGGGGTTTTATGTGGGTAAGCTCGCCCCGTCCTTTCTCCAGTGTATCTGATTCATTATTATTATTCTTCACATTATTTTTATTTGTTATTATCATCAAATTGAAGGTGACTGGAGGTCGATTACTGTTCAACGAGGTGACCGAGGATAATGCTGGAGTGTACAAATGCCGAGCAAAGACGAAAGCCGGACCATTGGAGACGCGGACCGTGCTGAACATCGGCTCAGCAAAACGCAAGCGCAAGCATGTTCGCGGTCGCCACGCCCGACGGAATCATCGACGGCGTGCTGCGACGATTGCATCACGACAGCATAAGAGAAGGCTTTCGTTGATGCATTCGACGTTCGGCTCGTGGTTCTCAACCGCTCATTAGCCGTCGTCGTCTTCATCGTCGTCGTAGCCGTGTCGTAGCCGTCATAGCCATCACCCCGTAAATGTACTGCCTTCTATTAACATCTAAACACAAATAGTCTACAAATTATACTCACTGCCAGTCCGTACGCCATCCGTGCCGTGCGGCCGAAGACAAAGACTGCTGCTGCCCCCCGATGCTGCTGCTGATGCTGTTGTTGTTCAGATCGCATGAATATCATTCACTCTTAACCCCGTGTTTCTTTTTTTCTTTTTTTTTTTGTTCTCCAATTCATTTCTCTTCATTCTTTCTTCGTGCCTCTTCTCTTCTGTAGCTGTTGAATAGAGAGACTGCTGAATTCGCTGCTTTTTGCTGACTTCCTTCGGAATCGCTGCCTTGGTGCTGTGCATATTTACATTTGAGTTTGTAATGATTTAACATAGTGCGATTGTTTGGATTTTTTTGAATAAATGTTTTATTGATTGAAGTGATCTCATCGCATGAAACTGTCCGGTCCAAAACCCTACTATCGTCTGATGAAAGTAGCCCTTCCTGTATTTCTTTGGATTTTTACTCCTTCGACCAGGCCGTTCAAGAATGACTTTCTAGAGAAGTAGGTTTATTCTGGTAGTTCGGGGCTAATCTTCGCCCCCTTTCATGCATCATACCAATTTTTCCGTACATCCAAGTGGTTCTTAGGCTTCGGATACGGTCGCGTGAGCAGGACTATCAAGGGAAACACCCCATTCAATTTTTCCAGTTAAAAATTGCATTTGAGGGGTTGAGGGGGAGAGGGAGGGAGGGGGAGGGGGAGGAAAAGGTGGAAGCCTATACACCGTCCTTTTTTGGTCCGTCTTTGGTTCTAATACCGTATGCTGTGATGACGGGAGGCACGTTCAAGCGTTAGTTAACATATTGTGGGCGTGGCGATCGCTTTGGTAGAAGCTCGAGTGCATCTAATTGGACATTCTAATGCACAGATTTCAGGTGAATCTGAGCCCCTACCGGTTGTGAAATCAGTTGGCGAAGAGGTGAGTTATGCAACTGAGGGTATTTATTAGAAGAATCAATGTTCTGAAGGTCTCACATGGACATTTCTAGTTGGATAGCAGCCCAGACAAGAGGTCTATTCTCGATCTCGAATTGGTCTCGAAAGTCTATTCCAACGGCTACTGAAGGATGGGGCGGTCATTTGGCGCGGTCCCTTCCACTCGAGCTGTTTGAGGTTTGTGAGCTGAATAACTCGTAAAGGTGAATCATCCTCCTGACCATACTAATAGGCCAACCCACTGCCCATTGAGCTGATAGACGCCCAATCGATAATGCCATTACTATCAGACGCCGAATTGCGGACGTACGTATTCTGTCTATTTGCATCGATTAGCATGGTCAGGAGGTTGAATCATTTGGGCGAGTTGTCCAGCTCATAAACCGCGTCTAATGGGCGGCGCGAGGGTAGGGACCGCGCCAAACGGCATACACCCCTGAAATTGAGATCATTCCAATCGGAGCACGTTTGTGGTGACTAGCAGTAGCAAGCGTTGTCCTGCAGTGGCTGAAAACTCGTCCCAAAACCTATTAACCTCCGGAGAATCATTCAACCATGGGAACAACTATTTTGAAATGTTCCAAAACTTTCAGTTTTTTCGGATTCGGATTTGCCTAATTGTTTTTTCGCCATCGAT